TACATTTCAGATGGTGATCTCGTGAGAATCATTTGTGAAATAAAAATGGTATTTTTTTGTAAGAATCTCAGTGCCAATTGATTTGAAAGACTGGAATTGAAAAACAATTCTTAGAGTATTAGTCTTAATAATCCATTGAATAACAACATTTATTTGTGTCACTTCAATTCTTTTCTGATCCTGATTTCTTTATTGTCTTACCTTCAGCTCATCACCTTCCTTAAGACTGTCTATTTTCTCTTGGAACTAAGCTACTTTGAAAGAATTTACTGTTTTGGAAGTGAATAATTTGTTTTTTTTTTAACAACTTTTCTAATGACTTTTTATAAAAAGCACTTTAATGATTTCTATAAACATATCTTCTGGTGGCAATTTTTATAAATGTGAGATAGTACCTGCAAATCAATTTTTTGGCATTTCTTTCTGTCCCCGATATTCAAGTCTGAACATACAGTGATTTATTCTCTGCATTGTGGAGTTAATCTGCGACAAACATTTTGTTTGCTTTCAGAATGCCTACAAGTTTTTAAGAATTCTTTTTTTTGAGATAATACCAAATTAGTGATACTAGTCTTACTAATTAACCAATAGCTGAAGTGAAATGAAGTAGATTTATACCTTTCCCAAGGGTATTTGTGCATAAGTGAATATAACAAACCTAACTGGAATTGGAACTCTGCTCTCTGATTAACACTTCTGAGCCATTATTCATTACACCAGCCACACATCCAAAGTTATATCTCCTGATATTCCCAAGTGTTCTCCCATAAAGGTACAGACCAAGCTCAACATTTCTTAACTTTGGTGATTGTAATAGAATTTTTATGATGTGGAGAACTGACCACACTCTACTCAGATTCCTTCCAAGTACTGCCATAAACGATGGAAGTGAGCAAGAACTTTATAACTTTGTGTACATGCACAACGGAGTTCAAGGTCAATCTGTGGCAAGCGACTTCACTCTGCATACTTTAACTCTGTTACCATAGCAAGAGGTTCATTACTTTTTGATCCAAACTCATATTATTATATATCAATTATAGAAATTACAGAAGACAACCCACAGTTGATGACTTCTGATTAACTGAGATATTTCTTATTTTAATTAAACATCAAAGACAGTGTATGATTGGATCTTCAAATATAAATGCACAGTTGTAATTTAGCTTAAAAATAGATAATAATAGAAAATTATACTTCTACATCATCAAAAGATTGAAATACAAAGAAATAAGAAAATAGTTTATCAAGATGAACATATTCTATTTTGACTATGTTATCAGAAAAGTGCATAATATAAAAATGAGCAAATTATTATTATCAATATGAATTCTTATGGTGACATAGAAATTGTGTGTGTGTATATATATATATATATATATATATATATATATATATATAAATTAATAAATGCACAATGAACTTTGTATATGTAAATTACTATATTTTGCAAAATGTGTTGCATTAAAATCACCTGTTACAAATTATTTGCCATAGTCTGTGGGGACATGCATACAGTTCAGTGTTGTTAGTTGACCATGGTGCTGGTTTATTTTGCAAAAAGAATATTATCAGGAAATTAATAATAATTTGAGAATCTCTGTTAGAAGCCACTAAAAGCAAAAACTGGAACACATGTAGACTAGGGCAAGTCACATGATATGAAAAATTATTTTTTGACAACTCACACTCAAGGTGAAAATTTAAAAAAAAAAAGAAAACTTAATTCATGAACCTAAGTTTAAGAAAATTTTTCTATCATTAGTCAGTCGACTCAGAAATGCCAGAGGAAATCTAAACAAAATTGGTAGATCCAGAAGTCAACAGCCAGAAAATGCAATTTTGTTTATACAATGTGGTTATTTCCTTAACTCTTGTTGAGGCAACTCAATGGTAAAATATCAAATGAGTTACAATTAAGCAACTACACAAAAGCTAAAAATGGAGTTTGGATACTGATATCTTTGTAAGAACATTTTTTATCAATCCTTTTGACAATTCTCATTTTTATCAACTCTAAAAAAAAATTTATTCCTTTTAAGACAAACTTGAGAGCACATAAACCAAACATTTTATTCTACAAAAAGTCCACAAACAAATAGATAATTCGTTAACATATAAAACTGTGTCATACAACTAATGTTCATGAATCACACTAGTGAATAAATCTTGACGTTAGGTGTCACCATGACATTTTATAAATGCTACCAATCAAATAAAAGAGAACATCACCAAAAAGACATATCAAAACATATTTTATTACTGTACACCATTACAGTACATAGGTAGAGCTATTTATGGATTTTCTTAAACTAAAATTAATCCTTATTGCTATAAAAATATTTATTGTATGCATGTGTTTTCTTTTTGTTCTTTTTAACAGTGAAATTAACATTTACTAGATAAAAATAGATAAAAGCATTGGTTGATTGATTGGAAAAGTGATTTGACACAGACAGCCGTGAATTCAATCCCTGTCTTCAGCAGAGGGAATACAAAACTTGGAGAGTTATCAAGGTGATTGGTTTCATTTGGTTTGTTTTACAGCATATCAACCTCAATGGGTCATTTAATGCTGACAAAATTTTTGTTGCTGGTAATATTTTTTTCCTTCATAAATCTATTTTTGGTAATATTTTTTTCTTCAAAAATGTATTGCTGGCAATAATTTTTTTACAAAAAGTATTTCTGGTATTAAAATCTATTTTTACACTTTCATAGTATTTTGACCCCAATTTGGGGGTTAACTATTTGCTCATAGCTGGGACCCTAACAGGTGCTACCACCCCAGGTCAGGGTCGACCTGGGAACACCAGCAATTAAGAGGTGGTTCCACGCTCCTCAAAACCTCCCAATCAGAGGCCTTGCTGTTGGACATAGTTTATTGCCTTACTCTGCTTATTAAGTTGAATTAACTAAAAATGGAATTAGAACAATTTACCCACATGGATTAAATAAAGGGTTAAAGTTCCAACAAATATCTGAAGAAGGCTGAAGCATATAATAGCTGAAACATTGTGAATGAGACAATAAAGACAAGGACAACAATCTGAATAATGCAAATAGTTACAATACCTCATCTCAGAAGCATAGACTGATGTACTAGCTAAGAATTTGGAAGTTTTATTAAAGTAAAGGGATTACAGGTTTGTTTCTTTTTGGGAGGCACATTTTTGTTTATAAGACTTTGAATATCTAGGCCAGTATATATTATACACATTGTTTAAAAACACATAAAATAAAAATGCTAGTTATTAACATGAGCAATCAATATATGTCAAATAATCAAATTTAACAGAATTTCCACAAGTAATGTGTCTAATATTAGAAAAGAGTGATAATTATTATTAAACTAGAAGTAATAACATTCTGTACATATCAAAGGCTAACTCAGAATTTAGTCATTTTTCAAGTTTTGATGAGTGACTGAAAAATTACAAAATTCGGAGTCAGCCTTTGATAAATGTTGAACATAGTAATCTATTTCAATAATAATGTTTAAAAATTAAAAACAAATTTGTTATATATCAGCAGAAACTTTGCACTTTAAACAAACCTTTGTGAAAACAGCTTGAATAAGAAAAAAATTGATATCTATTATATTTTATTGTTTGCAATTAATTCAATGACCTCAGTAGCCATTCAGGCCAGAAAGTTGTTTTCTTCAAACTTTCTTGGCTAAAATTTATTCTCTCTCAATTCTATATTTCATTAGAATCCCAAAACTGCTATTTAATGCCTTGTCTGTGAGTCAATTGTGTTTTTCTTAATAGCTTATTAACTTTTGGCTGGAATAAAATAATGCTCCATTTTTCACACTTGCCAGTCAGAGGATTCTTCGTAGAGCCAAAAGGTAAAGTGCAAACAAATTTCTACTCACTTTTCTCCAGGTTTGTCTGGCAGCTACAAGAACACATGAAGTAATGAGACAGTAGAGAAATTTAGTTTCTAAAAATAACCTTCTTTTTAAGATGAGAATCCACTTTGCAAAGTGGCAGTAACATTTCTGAGTCAGGTACAGTTATAAAAACAGCAAATAAAAATTAAGTCATGAAAGTTCACAGTTTATGAAGATTATCTTAACCTGGAAAAGGGCAAATATTCTTCTTACTACAAGCGCACACATATACATAGATATCTATTATTACAAAGTATGTTCTGCTAGCCAAATAACTGGATGTTGGTGATAGAAAATTAGTCTATAAGCGTAACTTGATGTGATGTGAGAGATAGATAAATGTAGATGGACAATTCACTGTGGACTAATGAGTTAGTCCTGCTGATTATGTTCCCACAATTAATAACCTTATACCAGACTTATCTATGTTCAGTGGACTGAGAAATTGTTATCATGTTGATTTAGGGTTAGTAAAGACAAATGCCAAATAACATGTAACAATAAAAAGGGGTTCATTAGGTTGGTAAGTAGGTACAGAAATTGCCTGAGTAGTCTATAAGTAGCTCAGCCAAGAACTTCTCCGACTGTCTGTCTTTTGACATGCCACTATTTAACGTCTTTGTTTGTAGACAAGTTCATCTTCAAGAGGGGTGGTAGGTTTCCTACACAACAGAAATATACAGAAATGAGCATTTCATCATTAAACTAATGTCTTTGATATTCACAACTGTAAGGAATTCAGTATCAACTGAATACCCAACACCTGCAACAAATTCAAGACTAAATTAAACTTCAAATAGATAATTATTAGATTATTTATGTGTTTGTGCTGCACAATAAATAGTAAATCCTAAAAAGAGTAGCCATAATATAAAATAAATAAATAGTAACTCTGAATATTTCCATTTAATCAAATTGCTCAAGTATTAAATATAAATTCTTCTAACAATGCCTTTCACAAAGAATCAAGTAACCTCTACATTCTTTTCTTTACAATAAGTTTTAAAAATAAATGAAAAGCAGAAAGAAATCCTCAGTTGATTAATTAGTATTGACACACCTGAACTTTAACAAAAATATTCTCAAAGTAAATATTTCTTACCTGTACATCAGCAGGTGAAGCAAACTGCCAATTAAAGGTAACCTGGCGATCTGTACTCCAGTTGTTTACAAACAAAAGGGCATGCTTCATTGCAAATAAAGGAATGTTCCCAAGAGAAATTCTCTCCTTTGAGAGGCCAACAATCTAAGAATAGAATAAAGAAAAAGGCAGTTTAGTCTTCCACAAGAATCAGAAAGGATACCTCTCTTGAAAACAGGTAATTAAAAACTCCTATTGAGAAAGGTAGAAAATAAAAAAAAAAAGTTTATTTTCTTGCAAATTTTTTTCTTTCTTTATCTAAAATGGAAATAAACACTGGCACTTTATGTAAAATAGTTTGCATTTACAGTATTTCTGAAAGGGGACTCAAAGTGGACTTTCTTAGATTGATCACAAGCTGAGTATCAAGATATAGTATATGGCTGTATATGTACATTTTGCCTCTTTAAGGAATATTCAGCAAACATTTAGTCTAAAGCCACAGGCTACCAACAGATCAATTAATCTCTGTTAACTAACAGTGAACACAGTATCTTAAGTATGTGACATTATTTTCAATTTTACAAATTTTATTGTTTTGACAAGCACAGCAACATTGTAAATTTGTAAAAAAAGAAAATCTGTTACAAGTCAAAGCATTATATATTGCGTTAAAATGTGCACTTTTGCCAGAAGTATGACAACTATTTAAAATATTTTTTTTATCAGTTTTGAAATGCATATCAGCAGAATAAGTTTAAAAAACAACTGTACTAAATCAATGATTGATATGTGTGTGTGTGTGTGTGTATATATATATATATATATATACATATATATATTTATATTTAAAAATGAAACTTATCCTGAATAGTCACTCATCTAGATCCTTTCATACTAACATGTGTGTACCCAGGACTCCATCTTTATTTTTATTTTGTTTTTAATTAATCAAATCTCAACTTGGTATTCTACGCTTATGACACAACCATTTAATCCTGTCTCAATAGTAAGGGTGATTACTCATTTTTTTTTTACTGCTCATTATTACTGTTTCTGTTCCTAATTCTTCCAAATAACCCCTTATGTCTTAGCAGCTTTACTGCTTTGCATAGGCTGATTAAAAAAATTATTTAATGTCCATCAGGAACATTTATATAAAATGTTTTTTTCCAGATACAAATCCTATTATTTAATCCATAGCAAAGGGAAGAGATGGAATCAAAAATTTCTGAAGGACATTTGCACATATTTTAACACACAAGCTGTTTGCCATCATAAATCCTAATCTAGTGTGTATCTATCGCTTTCTCTCTGTATATATATATATATATATATATATATATATATATATATATATATATATATGTATATATATATATACACTATAGTTCAAAAGTTTGAAACCACCTCCAAAATTAGCATGGGATGAACTTGGCAGAAAAGTGAAAAAAAAAAAAAAATGAAAAAGAGTTCTTAGAGTCATTAAAAAAAGAATGCAATCAATTATCAAACTTATACTTTCAGAAACATTTGCAATGAATGCCAAAAATTTGTGCTGCAGTAATCAAGGTTAAAGGTGGATATTTTGACAAGAGCAAAATTTAATCATAAAATGCTTTTTTCATTTTGTCATAATAAAACCATGTGTCTTTTTTTAACAATGCTTCACAATTTTCTCTTACTTAAAGTACAAAACAACTACTTTTTGGGCCAATTTAAAAATTTACCAGAGGTTGCTCCAAACCTTTGAACTGTAGTATATATATATATATATATATATATATATATATATATATATATATATATATATATATATATATAAATAAAAATAAAGATATTTCTACATTACATATGCACAAACTATTATGATAATTAGTCTTAACTGTTCCTGTAAGCACTGTCATAACTGACGTGTTGAGTTAGAAAATATTCTGGTAGTTGTTAAAGTAGAGATGCTATTTATTATTGAGATCATTATTATTATTATAACATGTGAAGATGTAATTTACACAGCCTAAATCTTAAATAGAAAAAGAAAATGATTCGATTTAATGATAATGTGTAAAAAAAAAAAATGAAATCTTTATTCAACACATTAAAGAGCAGGCAATGTGCTTTGCTGATGAATGAAAGACAATGTAATGCAAGATTTAATTATCAGAATGACAATAATTGTGAATGTATTAACAGAGATTTTCATGTCGTTCTTCATCAATTTGCAAAGCAGTTGTTCTGTATCAACTGATGATAATGACAAATCCTGAATAATCAAAAACAGCGTCAGCTGCAAATTCAGGACAAGATTTTAATCAGGTTATTAACACCAAAGAAGATATGATCTCTAAACACAGCATGATTTTGGCTAAAAGCTCAATATTCTAATAATATTTAGCTTGGAGTCAATATAGACTTCTGTTTCAGTTGATGAAATCTTCCCTCAGGATTCTAAATCATCCAACATGAAATGTTCATATTGAAAAAAGATAATAGATAATTATAATTAAATATGGTTATTTACTAAATTCAGATTAGTTGGGCACAAGATCATATTAGTAACATTATGAAGGTAAACTATTAATATTTATAAATTTATGGAGACATTATGTATGATTTAGAAAAAAACAGTGTAATTATTTCTGCTTGCTTCTTTTTTACTCTGTCCCTAATGTCTGACATCCTGAAGCAAAGGGATATATAGTGTTTATTATGCTGACTCTTGTGGTTCTACCAAGGATTGAACTCACCACCCTTGACAAATAAATTCCTGAAAATTCCCACTCCTCAGCTAAATGGATGTATTCTGAGAAATGGCAGTAGCTTGTTTCCCTTCCTGTCAAAATGGATTTAACCTTCAGTCATTATTTAAGTTTATTGAAATTTCTCTTCAGGGTAAATCTTTCTAGTATTAGGGCACCTTGGCATGGTGTAATGGTTAGCAAGCTTGTCCCACTAGATCAGTTGCGACTGAAAAGTGAGTTCGATTCTCACTAGGTGTCCCATACTTTTGGCTTTGTGCCACATCTAAGCTATGCTTGGAAAATAACTAAATCTTTCTAGTATTTAGTGAAGTGTTGTCACTCAGATTACAGAGCAGGATTCTGTTTTAACATAAAGGATGTATGAAATAAAAATATGAATCTTACTCTGATTTGAACTTCTGTCCTGGAGATTACAAGTGACATATCTATTACTTCAGTGTTCTGCTGCTTGAACAGCATGGTAAAATTAGTACATAAGTTAGATAGAGTGCACAGAATTTACAAGAGACTAACACTTTCATCTGAGATTAAGCACACAGATATGAAACTTCTGAGGAGAGCAACATTTTGATCTTAGATAGTACACACAAATACCATTCTTATCTTAGGGATTAAACATAAATAGTACTCTGATACTAAACACAAATCTATCATTCTGATCCAAGGCAGTATACATAGATACCTTTTTGGTCCGGGTGGTACACAGATACCTTCCTGATTCAATGCAGTATACAGAGATACATTTCTAAGGCAAGGCAGTATGCAGAAATACATTTCTGGTCCAAGGCATTATACAAAGATATCTTTGTGGTTCGAGGCAGCATACATAAATACCTTATTGGTCCAAGGCAGTATGTATACATATATTTCTGATCCAAGGCTGTATACTATTCTGGTCCTAGACTATACCCAGATAATACTCTGATTCCTACCAGAAGTACTGATCTATTATATGTCATTAATACAATCATTTTTACAGGTACTCTGCTAGTATATGAAACATACAATCAATGTAATATCTATATTTTATGTGTATATATACTACTATCAAAGACAGGTTTATTCTTGTCAACAAATTTTTTACAAAGAACACAGATACAACTCTGATCCTAGACAGGAATGTTAAGCCATATGTTAACAATTCTCTATTATGGAGAATTATGCTAATGTAAATACAAATTATAGTATTTGTTTATATTGAAGTGGCAATGAAAAGTTCCAGTCAAAGAAAAATTAAAAATATACTGAGTTTTGGTTTTTTGGTTGTTCCAGCAATTTCACGTTGAAACAGGTTTTCATTCAGTCACTGAAGTTAAGCAATATTAAGTCTGGTCAGTTGATTCCTTGGAAATATCAGGTGCTGTAAGCTATGTGACAAGCCTAGCATTCTCGCAGCTCATCATCATAAAAGAGCTCAATATGTGGAGGTGTTTCAGTGCTGACAGCTTCTAAGACCCACATGAGATTGGGCAAGTTGTTGATTTGTAGGTCTTTTATGGAAGTGGATTTGGCCAAGTTCTTTTACATGCAGTGATGTTAGAATTATTTGCTCCCACCCCACTGCATATTTTCTAAAGTAAGGTGAAGTTGTGCAAGTACCTAGGGAATTTGCCATAGACAGTTTATAGTGATTTGTTTATATTCTCTGTTATAGATTTTTCTAAAAATTGTTGCAGAACAAAATTATTTGTCCTCCCTGATGGAACTTATGAAATAATATTGCTCTATGACAAGTATAATGTGTTTGTCTATATTTCTGAGATGAGGTATTATGTACATTATTTGGACTATTGTCCTCATCTTTGTCACCATATTTATTACAATGTTTCAGCCGTTGTATGCTCCAACCTTCTTCAGGTGGTTGGAATGTCGAATTTAGCACTTTGTTTTGCTCACTGGTGTAGACTGTTCTAGTTCCACGTGCCATGTTTAATGGATGTCAGTTATCAGTTATCTCCTGTTAATTTCCCTCTGAAAGTTCTCCACTGCCTTAACCAAGTATTGAACTATTGAGGACATATGTCATGGTGGATAAATAATAAGAAATAAGTGAATAATGTAAATAATGTATATAATGTGTTTTTTCTTAATTCTTTTAATACAAGCAGCATTTGAAATTGAAATAGAATTGACTTAATCCTATAACATCCTAGAAGGTTCTGATAAAGGCAATATATGAGTGTAGTCTACAGACATATAATGTATAACAGTAATTGGGAGTGAGGGCACTTAAAAAAGAATGTGTTTTTTTAATATATAAATATATATATATATATATATATATATGAAGAAATATAGTCTTAAGGTGTGCTATATTTATGTGATAAAGTGCTCAATATCAGAGATAGAGTGTACATAAAAATAAATATAAAAGTGAACATTGAAGTCCACACTCAGAGGCAACAGGCTGTTTCATGCTTGGCGCAATCGTCAGGCAGCCTGACGATTGCGTCCAGTATGAACAGCCTGTCGCCTCTGAGTGTTGACTTCAATGTTCACTTTTATATATATATATATTTAGTTGGATTGATGCGAGTTTGTGACCCTGGGTTTCACACTCTCTTCATACTCACATGAATCCAGCTAAATATGTTAGCTCTATCACTGATATTGAACGATTTCTAATAAGTACCATATATATATATATATATATATATATATATAGATAGATAGATAGATAGATTAGATAATAAGTGTAAAAGCAAAATTGTCCATTTGTTAGATTAAGATTTAAACTGTGCTCCAACCACTTCATGAAGCATGAAGTGGTTGGAGCACAACAAGTGCATGGAAGTCAGAGGATCCTACTTTAATGTGTTGTATTTCTTTGAAATTAATAAATGTCTCTCCTGAAAAAAATTCAAAACTTCTAGAATGCACTTCATATACATATATTCTTTAGAGGAGAAAGTTTATTAAAAAGACGCCCAAGCAAATATGTTAAAAAGAAAGTAATAATTAATATAAACAGGGAAAAATAATAAAATTTACCTTTTTGCTTCAACAAAACGAGTTACACTATATCAGAATTTTAATAAATGGAAACCAATTACAATAATCTATTGTCAACCTGGTAAAAGATAAAAATTTAATTGGCCAAAATAATTATTATATTAGTTTGAATAAGTGATTAGAATCACTAGTTTCATAATTCAAGCACTTAATAATTGATCAGTGAAAAAAAAGAGGGATTCTAATTGTTCATTAACAAAAAAATGACCATATTATATATTTTCCTCATAAATGTTCATTATTTACATTATTTGGATTGTTATCCTCATCTTCATTGTCATATTCCCAACATTTCAGCCTTGTATGCTCTGGCCTTCTTCAGGTGATCGGAACTTCAAACCAAACCTTTATTGTGTTCACCAGGGTAGAGTGTTCTAGTTCTCTGTGCCATGCCTCTTCCAGATGTCTCAGTTGTTTCCCTTTAACTCAGCTCTCCAAGTTTTTTTAGGTTTACCACTGTTGTAGCCTGGTATTGAACTCATAACTCTTTCTAACCAGTAACTAAAAAATGTTACTGGTTAGAACCAGTCTTTATCCACTGGGCCATGTGTCCTTAAAGGATATCCATGTATGTATTTCTGGGGCTTATAAACCTAATATCTCAACAACTTTTTTTTTACCAGTGTTCATATTGCAATTTTCCATTATTATTATTGCATATTTTTTAACAGAGCTTATATTGCAATTTTTGAAGATGAAATAAAGGGTTGGTTCAAAATTTCAATCACCTGAAGAAAACCGGAGTGTACAATGGTCAAAACACTGTAAATATGGCAATGAAGATAAGGATAAGTCCGAATAATGAAAATAATGTAAATATCTCAGAGATACAGACAAATTTTCATCAATTTACAAATTTCACCTGTTTCCTCGTCTTTTTTTAGTCTTTATTCCAATATTTCAGCTGCTAACTTCTCCAAACCTTCTTCATGCATATGTTACATCCACTCACTATTAACTCAGTATATTGTCTTTGTTTTTTTTAATTGCCATATCCTCTTAAATATATAGGCAATCATGGTTTTCTACAGAATATCTTTATTATTTATGAATTGCCATGCATTTTAGGAAAGATAATGGAGTGGTTTCCCATTACTTTTTATGAGGTTAGAATTCAGTGTTTTCCTTCTCTTAGACTGGTTGTAATCAAAGGCTACAGAGTCAAGTCTACCCTACTATTTAACCCACAGTTTTTGTTTCTACACAGACACTAAAAACAGAAAATATTGAATGCTACAAGAAGCAATATATGAGAAAAGTCAAAGAAAATATCAGCCAAAACATTTTGATGGAAACTTGTCCAATTAATTAAGACAAAAATGAGAGCACATAAACAAATTATCAACAAATTAGACTCATTTTCCCAGAAGACGACGAACGAAAATTATACAAAAAATTGATTTTTTACCTGTCCAGGTAAAGCAACAGACTGGCTGTCTGGAATATTCATGTTCTGTGAAGTGTCTAGCAATGGCATTGTCTGACCCATTGCTTCAGCATCATAACCAATTCCAATGAAAGTGATCAAAGCTGTCTCTCCTCCTTCAATATGGATTGGAACATCAACCTAGATGAGTAAGAGAAAGAGAAAAGAATTATTTCCAAACTTAAATAGTTCTGTCTGAAATTTTGAAATGCATCCTCATTGTTATTGAAGAATCAGTATGAACCTCCCACGATAACCAATTGTTGAAGCTATCAAACAATAATAAAGGCTCCAAAATATATCACTAATGTACTTCATAGTGGATACAGGAGTTTGTTATTGGTTGTGAATTTGATCCCTGGATCAGGTAGTGAAAATACTGCTTCAGCTGGAATGAATAGTAACTTTCATCACAGATAAAAATGACAGAATAACAGATATTCCATTTCAGTAAAAAAAAAAAAAAAAAAAAACCCCAAAAAACAAATGAGGTTTGGAAGAAACTTTGAAAGCTGATGGATGGATTAGTCAAATGCTAAAGGTAAAAATGGCAAGGATGAAAATACAGTCAGTTTATTACTGGTGGAATAATGATGAAGAATCATCTCAGAATTTCAATGACGGAAGCTGGAGAGTTTAAAAACCAAAACTTAGTGATAACAGCAGCAAGGATAAGAATATGGTGCTCAATAACTCATGGAATAATAACAATGACAGAGCCAAGAATTTCAGACAGGAAGCACTCAGTATATTAATGTTCTTTTAAAATATGTTGTTTTATTATCTATCCAAGTTCAGCTCATTCATCTTCTTTTAAGTAGATATCACTTGTCTGATTTTCTCATAGATTTCCATTTAGGGTTGTTCCTTTATTTAACATATTTTTCTTTCTTTTGTTCCATGCTCATAATATATTTTTATCATTTCAAACTATTGTTCTCCTCTTATTTGTTTTATATATATATATATATATATATATATATATATTATAAATTAACTGGTTTAAAATATGTTTTTTTCACAACACAGTTCTAACCATGTTTCAAAAATGGAAGCTAAAAGCTTCAATTTAATTTTGTAATTAAATTAAAGAAATCTTTAATTTAATTACAAAATTAAATCAGTTAATTTATAATATTAATGCTCTTTAAATTTACATTGAACACTATTTTGTAAAAATAAAAATATATATAAGAACACCGGATTATATATCTTACTGTTCTTTCTTTTTATATATATATATATATATATATATATATATGCTATTACAGACATGTTTCAGTCAAGTACACTGTGGCCATCATCAGTCATCCATTTTTTGACTGAAATGGAATATCTGTTGATTATTCTGTTATTTTTATCCCTGTGATGACAGTTATTATTCATTCCAGCTGAAGCAGTTATTTACATTACCAGATCCAGAGATTGAACTCTGGGCCAAGAACAAATTCCTCTATCCACTATGAAGGACATTAGTGATATATTTTTGGAGCCATTATATTTATGTTTGATGGCTTCAACATTTGGTTATTGTGGTAGGTTCATACTGATTTCAATAATTTTGTATTTTATTTTATTGGATAAATAATTATCAATATACTTTTATTTTTTCTAATAATAAAATACTTTCAAATACTTAATATTCAAAATCCAGTGATTCTTGACCAATGGTTGCCACCAAAGGAGGTAATCTTTGTACTTTATAGAATTATTTTATTCAGTCTACTCATATAAAAATATCAAATGGAGAGGAAGCATTAAATAGATTTGATACGCAATAATATTAGAAACATTCAATAAAGAAGCAAATGATTCTCACCTTACTGGGAACACAAGTAAAACAATTTTTGTCTTGCAAGCAAGATTTTAGTAAAATTCAACATTTTCACATTCAACCAGGTATGCATAAAACACTTTGGAAAAAAATGCTGCATTTTTTAAAACTGAAAAATTTTTCAGAATATGTTATGGTTTTCACCATAAAAAAAAAATTTGAACAAATTTTATTTTGTATGAAACAGATGTCCCTTTGCCCTATATTCTTTCATGGACTTTCTTTTGAATATTTAACGAATATTGAAAAACTCATTTTGACTTCTTAATATTAATTCAGTTTAAAATGTTTGCACACTTTATAGCCATTCTGTTGAGCTTTTCATTTAAAACAGTAAACACTTTTGCATCTCACACTATGTTTCTTCTTCTTCTTCTCTTGATTGTTTTTGAAGCATACAGACACCTCTACACGGCACCACTTATTACATATGCTCAGAAAGTCTATCTCACCTCTTTTTGGAGTCATTCTAATCACCAGTTTCACATCAAACACTTCTGGTCATTTTCTAAATGCTTCTTTTTTCTGTCATTTATGTCTTTAAGTGTTCCTTTGATACTGTGATTCAATAAAAAAATGCTCTCCAATGTCTATGCAACCATCTTGTATTGGATGCAAAGTCTTACAGTGTTGAAAAGTAGTTGTTTCAATATCAATATCTGTTTGAGTTGCTTATGTACAGATTGTGTGGAAAGACTTCAGAACCTTGTGATGTTACTTCAGAAGAAAGCACATAATAAATAAAAAATTAGAAAGAGATGTTTTTCAAATTCCTCCAAGTCTATATTTCCAGAGACGAAAAACAAAATCAATAGCTTCAGAAAATTTCTAGAAAAATTCTGCTACCATTCCAAGTAAAATGATACATTATGTTATGAATTTAAACGCAATTCAAAACAGCAGGAAGACAAGATGACAATAACCTTAAGAAAGGCTGTATTCAACAAAAGAAAGTGAGCCAAATGACGTTATCGATGTCTCTATATATAATCCCCTCCGCAAAATACAGTTGAATTCATAAAAGAAAATGTATGTTCATTTGCATACAATAAATTTGCATACAAAACACAAAAGAAGAGTCATTTCACAACAGTCAACCCTCCTGCAGGAAGGGGAAGAATGTTTGACTCACATAACAAAATCTTCAGACTTTGTTGGTGTTTTTCATGTTCATAAAGACCTCCCTAGAACATTACTTTGGGACTAGCCTGAAACTGATTAGAGTCTGGTATAACATCATTAGAGACTGACCCTGAATTATCATGCCAGAATAGTCTGGGGATACTTCTACTCCCATTCAATTCAGTAGATAGACAAGGTTCCAAGTCTTGAAGAGATACTGTAGATTCTCATCTATCAGGTGACCTAATATTTGCGTATATAATATTTACGTCAAGCAATTCCACCCTATTAACAAAATTATCATTTTTACTTGACTGGACAAAGATCCTCAGAAGTAGAGGTTCCTGTCTATCTCTTAGAGTAATCCTGAAAATTAATGTCTTTACTGAGCTTTGTCTGAACACAATCAAAAATTTAAAATACTGTATACACCAACTAAGAAATGAAACATGATGAAGAAAATACAAAATCCAAATGTATCAAGAACACATTGACACAAGTATATATCTATAATCAGATTACACAAAGTCCTAACAGCCTATCCTTTTGTTTGCTTAAGGATGGTTGTCTTGATTTACTATAAACTGTCTTGAGGAAAACAGAGAATATGTCCCCACAGAAGGATGATGCACATTCCCAGTTTTTAGTAAGATCTTCTGAGATTACAAACCCAGATGTAATGGAACACTAAGGCAAATCCAGTCAACCTTCCCTAATATATGCTCATACATGTTGGGCTGTTCCTGATGTGTTCACATAATAAAAACTGACTCCTAAAATAAGTTACCAGCATTTTTAATAAGAATAAATATGGTAAGCTCAAATCATTCACATATATTTATCATATAAATATACCCTGAAAATTTAACCAACATCACTTAGATAATACAATTTTATTGTGAAAACATTGACTTGCATAATAAAATTCAACACAGTAGTATATCTGTGTGTGTGTGTGTGTGTGTGTATATTTAAATAAGTTTTTTGTGGTACAGAATTTAAATTAAATTAACGAATGGAAGAGAGAAAAAAATGAATTTCAAGAAACTAGAGTCCAATAATATTCAGACCCAGTAAGCATTCCTTCTGTTTACAAAGGGAAGGCCCACAGGATCTGATATACTCGAGGTGAAATGTGGAGTGGGACCTAGATAAAATTAAAAAAATGATCCGCACTAAAATTAACCAGACACTTCCTGCTATTTATTACATGCTCAGCAATAGCAGAGCCAGAACTATTGTTTAGTTGGCTCTTCCTGGCAGCCGGATTCAAAATCCGGGGGGGGGGGGTAAGTAAATGTTGTTTTATTCTCGAATCCAAATGCTGGGATGTCCTCCCTTTGTAGTTGAGTCCACAACTACACTTATATTGATAAATCACTGAATTAACATGTTTTATTCTTGAATCCAAACGCCGAAAAATAAAAGCTATTGGTCAAATGGGAAATTCGTCTAGATAAACTCTCACCCTCTGTACCAATATAGGGAAGATGCAGATAACTAGGCATTTATCAACAAAATGCAACTTAACCCTATGAAATTTATTAATGATATCTTGGATAACGGAGTCTAAAACACCGAAACAATTTTTTATAAGTGTCATTCTAACAAACTCAATTTCACTGCAGAGAAGGCCATCAGAACATAACAAGTGCCCTATGAAGTAAGGCCTTAATCAAATTAAATTTTTTTCTCTTCCATTCCATTCGTTTATTTGATTTACATGCTTTTATAAATTTTCTATTCCCAGAAAAATAAACTTGATAAGTCCTGAGATGAAACTGGTTGTTTTTTTTTTAGCTTTTTCTTTTATAAAAAATGCCTTATAAATTTTGTCTTTTCCTAGTTATTATATATATATAATTTTAGATCTACTTTTAGAAATCAGGAGTACTCAAAGGAGATAAAATGTCACAGTAAAGGAATAAATGTTAGGTGAGTGATGCCCAAAGTAATTTGCTAGAAAAGACCAAATTCTCAGATGTAATTTGAATTCTTCTGAGGGGAATTGTTCAAACCAGGCATGTTGTTTTATTTTTGCTATTGTTTCTGATAAAACTTTATTTACAAGAGACTACCTTCATGTCTAAGTTAAATTTGCTGCTGGCTGTAGCTTAGCAAATTTCAATCATGTAGACAATCTGGACTATTTTTGTCCTTTTTCTTTAAAAAAGAAAAGATGAAA